CTACTGTATAATATTGTTCATGAAAACAGTTTTGCCATCAGAAGTGTTCAGCGACCACCCCACACTGGCAGAGGAAAGGTTTCGCTGCTGAACAGAAGGTGGTTACTGTGAAAGTGGCAGTTGCCAGTATAGCCATTTGTTGGAGGGAGAACCAGAGGTTCAACTTGCGAGATAAGGGTGTTTTTCAATGGCGTTTGGATAGCATAAGCCTTTCCACCACTGCCTGAGTCTTCTGGAGGCATCAGGAGGCAGAAAGAAAGAACTGACCAGGATCCTTTTTGAAAGGATCAGTAAGTAAAGGGGCTGAGGCACCAGTAATTACAGGCAAGGCTTATCTGCCTGTATGTCCACTTTTACTGTGGATCGACTGATCTGGTGAAATGCTCTCCATTATCTTCAGAGCATAATGAAACTTGAAGCCAGTGAAACACCACAGATACTAGAGTAGATGAAGCAGGCTTCAATTTGGCCAAAGCCAGGAGCAGAGAGAGGATGATCCCTGGACACAGAGTCACTGTCAGTGTGTAGGGTCAACGTGAAGGAAAGATCAGAATAGGTGCAGTCAGCTCTGTGAATGGTGTCACTGCCCACATCCCTGTGACCAGGCCACTGTTGGATATCACGGCGTTCTCGAGAGCAACACGTGGCAGTTCTGTGCCACAAGAAGATCCGACCTGCTCAGCTTCCACCATCCAGCCCTCATTAGACAGGGGCCAGGGGGTCACTACACGTACACATATGGAGATCATGCCTCCATGTTCCTCCCAGTTCCTGAATCCAATGCAGAGTCCAGTGTTCTCCTCATGATGTTTGAAATGATATAACATAACATTAACATGATCGACACAACATTAAACACAACCTTAAGGAAAAGCGCTGGCCTGACCAATGGGCAAGAATGCAAGTGAAGTAAACAAATTACAATGTCTGTATTCTGTGCTTCTTTACACTTCAATAGTTAAACCATTCTGCATCATGTATCATTTGTAAAACACTAGCAGCATGCTGGCAATGCTATATTTGCAAATCAAGTTATAGTTCTGAGGTTTGTGCTAATGTGAACAATTCCTCAAGAATTGTGTTCAATTAATTGAGAAGAATTGTAATATGGCCACAAGTTTGCTTTGTTGTGCAATGAAACATTTGCTCCTACAGAACTGTACTTACAGTTTGCATTAAATAAGCTCAATGATGTTACACTTTACAATCCGCTAAATCTTATCACCAATGTGACACTCTGGAACAGTTGAACGCAGGTGTTGTAGTATGAATGTTGTTTTGTCAGTAATTTGAAGGAAACACTGCCACCTAGTGCTCTTTGTGTGTTCCTTTTTCTTTCAATCTCCATGTCTCTGCACCTTAGTATTGGACCCTTCAGGATTTGCATAGCACGTATGCATAGGATAATATCAGCATAGCATAATTAAGACCAAAATACATTTTCCTGGTAGATACTGCAGTAGAATACTTGCTTAAAATGGCATTTTTCAGTTATCCAGCGTTCATTTGTCCTGTACATTAATACATTATGTGCAGAACAAAATAACTTTCCAACAAGTAAAATGTATGCAATGTGAAATCATCATCATTAAGCATCACTTGTTGAGTGACCACTGTCTTAATTGTTTTGGTCTCTACCAATTTTTTCCAAGTCGAACTGTGAACTGGGACACAAAGAACGTTCTTGCTCCCTACAAGCAGTAATGAATATCTTGTTTGAGAAATCTAGACATCAGATATAATTTTTTTTTATAATTTACAACAACAGTATCAAACTGTTTGCGCTGCTCTGAAGAGGAATGAG